GAGTAAATGCACGTACGTTCGAGAAAATTTCAATGCACGGACCGTTAAACTGCACTCCTTACATATGTATTATATATATATATTCACGCACGAACTTACATAGTAACTTCAATAAACATCGTTAACATTACGCACAATTCTCACTTATGTTAGCTCTGTGTTGTGTGTGTTTCCTCTTGTCTTACTAGAACCCTTGTACCGATTGCATCTTATTAAAGTAAATGCTTTTAAGGTCATACATACATTTAGCAGCGTCAAAAATGTGATGACGTTTTCCATAGCCGTAAACTTTTGAACAAGAATAGAAACACATCGGATACTCTCTAAAATCATTTTTGCAAATTGACCCACCTGTTCATCATTCTGTGACAAAATTATCTAATCTTCAAATATTTATTTGTGTTATACATCTCTTATTCTTTTTTTATCTTTTTCTTCTTTTTTCTTAAATCATTTTTTCCTATATGGAAAATCATTTATTCGCGGTAAAATCCTTGAGATGGAATAATACAAACAATAAATGTATAAGGAGATATCTTATAAGAAACTTTGACACATTTGTTTTATACGTCAATGAAAATTAAAATCGCAAATATGGTGGTGGATATTCGCGTGCGATTAGAATAATCAAGGATGTGAGAAAAAGATGGAATAAATAATAAAAATAATAATAATTATAATAATAATAATAGGAAGAGAAAAAGAAGAAGAAGAAGAAGAGAAAAAGAGGATAAGAGAAAAGAAACGTAGCGTGACTCGAAAGTAGTTGCGATTCAGTTAACTTTTTTTCTTCCAAGTTCACAAGAAAGACCGAGACCCGATCACCTACATTTTACGGTCAGCTTGTTCTCTCTCTCTCTCTCTCTCTCTCTCTCTCTCTCTCTCTTTCTCTCTCTCTCTCTCTCTCTCTCTCTTTCTTACTCTCTTGTCTTGTTCTAATAAGAGAATCGTGTTCGGCCGTGAACACAAGAACGTTTGCACGAGTTCTTTCCGCGTGTAGATATTTTCAAAGCGTGTTTTCAAATACGTGCATCTGCACGTATGTTCTCTTTTCTCTTATTATTTTTTTTTTTTACCTATGAGCATGTATATATGTATATATATATAGATATATATATTTACTTCAAGTATAATAAGTAATACACGTACGATATAGAAGAACGATTAGTATCGCCGAATAAAATAAGAAGGCTAACTGTAATGCATCTAACGCATATCACCTATGATCTCGTACCGTTATCTCGAACCAGAAGATCATGCGTGTGTATGTATGTGTGTGTGTGTTTAGGTTGTGTTATTTTTCTCTACGTTTTGTATCCTTTTTCGGCATATTCTGCATCATTATACTTAAACATTTTTTTTTTATTTAGATTATACTAGAAGTAAATGTATGTAAATTTCTAACGTATTACGTGTGGGTTGGTTAGTTTCGAACTTGACGTTTGGTATCGTTGAAATCAATGCGGAAGTATGATTCTTCGTGAGAGCAAGATTATTATATCTATTAGGGATGGTCCATTCTCTCTCTCTCTCTCTCTCTCTTTCTAGGAAAATGAGTTTTGAATTTATGAGCTCGTATAACTGTCTATCTAAATCTTTGCATTTAGAATAGAAATAAGATTATTTATTGTTGTAGATAAAATTGATGATAAGATTTTTCTTTAAGAATAATTTGAGATATTTTTGAGGGGAAAGTTAAAAGAGTTGTTTTTTTTTTATCAAATTATTTCAAAATATTGGATCCTAATGACTAAGTTTATCATCGAATTATAGTATAAAATAAAATATTCATTAAGATAGCCCTGAGAATTGGTAACGATCATGATCACTTAGAAGAAAAAAATATTAAAAGAAAAAAAAAAAAAAAAAAAAAAAAAAGGAAAAAAAAAGCGTGAAAACACGACAACGAGCGGAAGTTGGCACTTCCGTCGACGAGAGACGATGAACATCCTGCGCTACATTTATTTCTGGAGGAAGAAAAAGTGCAGAAGTGCGTTTAATGAAAGAAAAAAAAAAAAGGGGAATAAGAAGAGGAAATGAAGGCGATGAAACGAAGAAGGGAAAAATCAGAGGAGAACGACAGGGAGGAAGAGGGTGGAGATAAGAGGGGGGGGGTGGAGGAAATAGGGGGAGAGATAGGATATGAATGGAAAATTAAAAACGCCTAAAATTTCCCCTTTACCACCACTTATTGTCTCGGTGTGCGTGTGCGTACACGTCATGCTTTGGCTTCGTTCCAATTCGTTGCACTTTCTCAAAGAGACAAAGTGGGTGCATCCATCTTCTTCTTGTAAATTGATACCACTCGATCGCTAACGTAATTATGAACGTGCTTATCGTGAAACCTTCGGTTATATTTCGGGCCACGACCAACTACAGGATATCCTGTGTGATTTGAGTTTATATATGGACCGTTTATTTTGAGAGTTGTGTAATTTAGCTGCTTTGAATTTGATATACATATATATTATTAATTTGTTGTTAATTTGTTAATTTAATTGTACACTATACAACTCTTATATTTTGTGGCTCTTAGGGAATGAAAATTTCGTGGCCAAAATTCTTATCAATAAACAATAAACAATAATACATTTATTACTAGAGTTTTTTTGTTTCAATATTGTACGTGGAAGAAGTATTAAGTGTTGTATTTAATTTCGATTAATCTATTGTTTTTTATTTATATTGTCCGGAATTTTTTTTTATTAAGAATATACGTTTTTTTTCTTGGGGTGGGTTTTTTTTTACTAATTAATAAATTTGATCAGAAGAGACTGACTCGCACTGTAAATGAGAATCGAGTCAACGAACTCGATCATTGACGACTACGCATTATCATAATCTCGTTTTTTTATTAGTATAGGTATATACATATATATGGTAAGATCAAGTTTTTCACGATTTTACACTTCATTTATAACATGACGCCACTCCCTTTTCTTTCGTGCTTTTTTCTTCTTGTTGTTTTCTTTTTCTTTTTATAATTAAAGGACAGTGCCATAAATGGGTAGCAAATATGTGGCGATATGGAAATGGATGCAAGAGGATGGTTTAAACGAATAAGTTTTATACTCATGAGTTTAAACGTTTCGGGCAAAAGATCGAAAACGATATGTGGTATCGATAAGAGTTACTTTGATTCTCGAATATTCGCTATATGCACTTATACGGGCTGTAAGGTATATATAAATCCTACGTGGGCACGAGAAGTAGTACTTTTTCCTTAGCTTCCACACCCTGTTCGTTCTCTTTCTCTCTCTCGTTTTCCTTTCTTGGATCGAGAGTCTGTTGCCACCGATATATACCGGGTGTCGTCAAGGGGTGTGTCACGTTATTAATTGAAATAATAATACATAAATATTATACTTCGATATTTCTTAAGATATTTTATCTGGAAAATACATACTTGGAAAGTACATTCAGTAATAAATAATCTGATCATATATATTTTAAATACAAGGATTTGGATTGGCAAACGTACGATACCTCGTAAATTCAAAACTCACAATCAAATCTATATAATTTTATTCTATCTCTTATTTAATAAATATATATATTTAAAGTAAAATATAATAAGTGCTTTCTGAGATTTTTTAGGTTATTATATTATTTTGTATATATTTTTTATTTTAAGTATAATAAATATGTAATAGTAAAGATAGACTTAAAAGAGAAATCGAGGATATAATACCTCGTGTAAGTAAGTGGTAGGAAGGATCGATCAAGAGAGAGAATGCAAGTAGGGTTCTCTCCGTAAAGCGAACGCTGTGTTACATCACAGAGGAAAGGTGAGCTCGGAAGGACGTCTAATTCTGACTTGCTTACCGGCAGCCAACCAGTTTGCTTGGACTCGCTCACTTGATGATTTTTTTTTTAACATTACCATTAAAAATGAGAAGGAGAAGGGAGAGGTTTTATTAGATTGGATAAAAAGATTATCTTTTTTGATTGTTTATAATGTAGACTTTATAGTTATGATCAAATGTTGGATCAATTTGTATAGATAGGAACAATAAGTTAGTCTAAGGTGATCATCATCTCGCCTTATTCGATTTCCTCTCGGTTATTTGGAAATAGGACGCAACTCATGAAACCGGTAAGCGTGTTATAGTGATTATAAAATTGCTATAGAGAGTACCAAGAGAAAAGTTTTCTTTTTGCCCTTCCAATCGAGAAGGCGGAGCTCGTAGGAAGCTTCTGCTGCTGCTGCTGTTTTGCTAAACGTTGAACGTTTTGCGAATCTTGAGAAAGTGATCGTTAACCGATACACGATTAACCGATACACGATTAACCGATACACGATTAACCGATACACCTGTGCTTGTTTTTTCATTTAGAAGAATGATTTCTTTCATTGGATTCGTCCTGATTTATTTGTTACCTGGAATAACAACAGTCTGATGATATTCTGATTCTCTGATTATAGTTTGATTGTTTTTGTTTTTCTTTGTTGAAGATTAAATATGAATTATTATCTCTCGTCCAAAAATAAAATTATTAATTTTTAATTAAATTATTCTTTTTAGGGAAATTGGACAGGTTGAACAATTTGTTTAGAACGTTTGTTTTGACCTTATTGAACGTTTCGTCCCTTTATCGGGACTTCTTCAGCAACTGAACATTTTTTATTATGACTTTTTTTTTAAAAAATACATATTATAAACATTACAAGAAGTTTCTTTAATATTACCTCGATCATTAATGTTCCGATTCTTTTTTATATATTCTTAAGAAGACATACATTATTATATATTTTTATTAAAAACAAACTGTATTTCACATTCGCTAATCGTTAATCCTAAATCTGTTAAATTCAAAACACGTAATCAAACACAATTGATTCTATCTAGACTAGTGTTTAATAGTCTAGGTATGCTCACTATTATGGTGTCCTCTGTTACGGTGTTCTCTATTAAACTTTCAGATTTCGTTATTAATTATTCATATTAATTAATATGAATTTTTGGTAGAATTTAATTTTGTTTGTTTTATGATTTCAGAACACGTCATAATGCGTTTGTTCAAAAGACAAACAACGGACACTTGTCCTCAACTGGTATCAGCTACACCTATACCGCAAGACGAAATTTCGGAGATAGTGACAATGAACGATGTTACTATAGAGCAGAATGAAAATTCTTTGTTGAATGATAAAAATGGTTCGTCGAAGAGACTCGATAAAGATACTAGAGACCCTGCTGGAGAGTCTGAAAAAACTGTAACTGGACAATCGTTCATGATAACTCGTAAAGGTATCAACAATTCCTTCTTGTCAATTCATTTAACATTGAAATCAAATTGGGTGATATAATAAAACGGGTCAAGACAAAATTTGACTTTTACTTTAAAGCATAAAATTTCGATATTTTAGGTTGTAATTAGAGGAAAAAAATATATATGACATGAAAAAGTTTGCTTTAGTATTTAGGAGACCGATTGAACGATATTTTTCAAAATCTGTGCTTTTAATTTTTAATTGAAAATGAAACGATTCAAATCGCGAAATTGTTTATTATTTTTATTAAATTTTACAATTAAAATAACTTAGAAAAAGTGGAAAATAATTAAAAAATTCACGCTTTTACTTGTTCTTTTATGTTAATAAGTACTAAATAAACTTTAGGACAAAGAAGAACAATTTTTTTGTAAAGTCATGTATAATCAATAACGTGTCAATAAATTATTTTCCAATTTGAATGTGATCATTTGAATAAGATGTTAAGGGGTAGGAAAAAAATAGTGAAAGTTTAAAAGTATTATACAATGTGGTAACAATCGTGATTAATTTGTAGGTATCTCAACATGGGGTCGGAAAGTAGGTCGAAGGTTGGATCAATTGAAGAGATCGGAAAGTTCGGAGTTACTTTCGGTTTCGGGTAGAAGACGTCGTTGGAGTCCAAATCGAAAAAGATACGAAGAAAGCTTGGAGGAAAAGGAAAATGTAATTAACTTAAGAACTTTGTTTCATTTTCATTTGAGACTCACGTGAATACCTTCTTTTTTTTTGGTTTAATCCTAGGGTTCGAACGAACATTCCTTTTCGGAATTTCCCAAGCCAAAGAGAGTTTCCAGAGTGGAATCGTTGAAAAATTTATTTCGCTCAACGGAGAGAAGTCATTTCTTAAGTTCGAATTCAACGTCGAGAAACGTTACGATTCAGGAGGAGAGCCATCATTCTATGGAGAAAGCTTTAAGCGATGGTGCCATTAAAAACATATCTGCTTTTCAATTAAAGTCCCTGAATAATAATAATAATAATAATAATAATAATAATAATAATAATAATAATAATAGAGATGAACAATTAAGGGAGACTTTCCTATATGAAAAGCAACGACAATTAAGTCGTAGTATTCAGGATCTTCAGGAACAGGAACGTGTCATCGACTTTATTCTTATGAATCAGCAGGTGTTAAAGACTCAAGAGGGTACAGCATTAGTAAAGGAGACTTTGAATAAGTTAGAGAAGGGTAGTAATTTGAAAAATATATCGGAATGTTCTTCATCGACGTCTAAGGTCAACGTGAAAATTAATAATACATCTAGTCGAACCGAAAATAGGAATCATTTTATTAACATTCATGAACGCGATAGGTAAGATTATTATTTTAAATTGATATTTATATATAGATTGTTGAAATTATTTCTACAATGATTTGTTTGTAATATCAATTTTAGGAACGATCAAACAAGATCTTGCCTTTTAACCGGTTTGGAGGATCTTATGAAYAATCTTCGTCTAGGATGCGATGAGAGTGGTTACGATTCCGATAGCACACGAACAGGTGCTGATTCTCCTGACAGTGAACAATGTATTCRAAGAATGACTAAGCCTCGTAGCTATTCTATAACTTCCGATGATTATCAAGGTATAGATCTGTCTTTGCCGCCTATCATCGACCAAGCTGAACTTTCAAAAACTAGCAGCGAGGATTCCGAAAATGTTAATGATAACACCGTCGTGGAGGCAAATCATTTTTTGAGCAATTCAAGGAAAACTGAATCGACGTTAGTCATGTCGGAACACGATGATGATGATGATGATGATGATGATGATGATGATGATGATGATAATGATGATGATGATGATGATGATGATGATGATGATGATGATGATGATGATGATGAAACCGATAGTTGCGACGAAAGTACTTTCGATGATTACGAGCAATGCACTAAATCAGAATTTTTGAATAATTCCATTAGAAATGTTTCTAAGATAGAATCGAGTCAATATTCGAAAATATTCCCAATAAAAATGACGAAGAAAGTTGGTACTGTTTCTCAGACGAATAAAATTGTTCCAAGTACATTGATACAAACGAAATCAATGACTTCTTTAAGGAATCGAAAATATGGTAGCGCCAGCGTGTTAACTCTCGTCGACAATGCTTCGTCTCCTTGCAAAGATAGTCCACCAGCTCATAAGATTAATTCATTGACAATGTTAATGAATAATCCGGTTGAATATTATACTCCTAAAAGATCTCGTTCTGCTTTGGAAGCTGAAATATCACCAGAGGAATCTATCAATAGAATCAACAAAGTTAAGAGAATTATTTTCGCTGATAATCCTCGAACAACGATGATAACTTCAACACCAGCCAAGTCTACTTTAATACGTCGAGAATTAAAGACTATGAAACTAAGCGTTGAAAGATCAGGCAATCTTGGTATATCTTTAGAAAGACGAGAAGCAGTTAGACCGTTTTACGTAATATCGAAATTAGATTCCAACGGTGAAGCAGCCAAATCTAAATTGTTTCGAATCGGCGATGAGATCGTCCGAGTCTGTGGTCGCAGATTACGTGGGATGACAATCATCGAAGCTAGAAATGCGTTACGCAGTTGTGCGGGAAACGTTGAGCTTCAAATCGCCAGAGAACCAACGTTTGCGTTTGGCGAAGAGATCGGTGATACTTGGGCTGATTTAGATAGAGTTCCTCGTCCTCGAAATGATTCCGAAGCGTGGACCTTGCAAGAGAGTAAATCAGACCCTGGAGTAATAGTATCCACCACCGTGCCGAAACCTGAATCTCTTCATAATGGTGGTGACAATCGGTTGAAATCCGAAGAAAATCCGTCTAAACGGCCTAAAAGTGAATTATCCATTAACGAGACCAGATATGATACCGAACAAAAGATGACTGGTATGAGAAAGTTTCAAGTTATCAGAAAACGAACCTCACATCCAGCTTGTTATCCTAAAAGAGTATCAAGTCTTTTGAAAGATTTGTTGACGGTTAGCTTGGAAAAAGGAGCCACAAAGAAACTTGGTTTCTCGATCGTCGGAAGATCCGACAACAAGAAGGGTTACATGGGTATTTTTGTAAAGGATATTATGGAAGGTGGTCAAGCAGCYGAGGAAGGTACACTTAGGGTCGGTGATGAGATATTAGCAATTAATGGCATACCAATGGACGGTGCAACCCATACCAAGGCCCTTCAGACCTTCAAGAATGCCAAACCAGGCAAAATGATTCTCTGCGTTGGACGAAGGGATCCAACGAATAAACGGTTGTTTTACAATTGATTAAACAAGATATTGTTTTAAATCTTGGGTTAGTTYTGCTTTGCTTTTTTGCTTCATTTAACATTTTTCTTCTCAGCGATAACGTTACGCTTAAGAATCTAATACTTTTGTTTTTTTCTTTCCTGCAACTCTTAATATGCTTATGTAAAGCTCTATTTCTTATTTTTATTTAGTAATAGTATATTATTATTTTTTACGCGACGTGGCTTTTAAATAAATTTCTTTTTTTTATTTTTAGATACATTACTCAATCCAAGTCTTGCGATTGTTTAAGCAAATTAACGGAAGATGGATACGAATGATAATATGCTACAAGAAGGATCATATTTTTTTATATATATATACATATATATAATTTATATTTTCTTTAGATAATATTAAGAAAAGACGGATAGGTTACCATTAATTATATAAAATCGAGGTGTCTATGTTTTCTATTATACTCGACTAACATGCTGCATCGGTCAAATGTTGGCGTCGAACTTTGTGTCGGGAGATATTTAAAGAAAACAATAATTTCCATTTTTTATGTATATATGTAGTAAAAATACTCATAGGATGTTTTTTCTCGTTTCTTGTCATTTGTCAAATACATGGGAGGTTTATCATTGCTCTTGTTATTTGTTGCGCAATTGGTGTGACAATTGATATTAATAATTGTCACTTCTTTTCATTACAGTTACAATACTATTATTTTATTTTATTTCAAGACGTATATATGTTATTTAATCAAATTCAAAAAAAGCAAAGTGCAAATTTGTTTTATTTAATTTATTTCGTGATATATCGTTTAAGTCCCTTCGCAGTCAATTAATAACTCGGATGAATTTCGTTTAACTCTCATATTTGTGTATGTAATTAATCGATAATTTAGCAAGAATATTCAAAGAAAAAATATCCCGAGTTGTGTGTGAATTTGTTTAATGCAAATGGTACAAATGAAATTGATTCATCATTATTATGTTATACGCGTAAAGTAAGTGATSAAAAAGTTTATATATATATTATATCTATTTGTATGCACATCATTAACAAGAAAACAAGAAAGTTTTATTAATTAATTATGCAGCTTCGAATCATGTTAAAGGTTCTAAAGATAAATGAAAGTTTGTTTTGTGCRTTYGACGAAATACGAAGATTAAAAATAAGAACATTATTAGACATTATTAACGTAGTCATTTCCTGTTAGATATAGCACGCTAACATTTTGGATCATGACGTATTAACATGATGCACAATTTATCATAAACTTATAGTTTAACGTATGTTTCGCGTTAGAAACATGGTTTTCGTTTAAACTGAAAAAGAACACAGCCGCATTTAAATAATATCGACGATGGCATGCACATATGATACTTACTTTGTACTTATTTACAATCTAATTATATATGGTCGCAATGCCAAAAATATCCAGGAGTGCGAAAGGGGGGTTAAAAAACCGTACATATCGGGCAGGATGCAGGGGGGTAGAGACACTAAACCATCACCTAAAAAAATGCTGTATAACACATGAATCACGTATTGATAGGCATAATGCTATCGTAGCGTACATCAAAAGACTCCTTGCAAAGACGCATGAAACGTTTAAAGAGGAGCCTCAATTCGTAACAGAGATAGCTCTCCGAAAGCCCGAAAAAAATATTAAAAAAAAAGATACTAAGGTCTTAGTTGTTGATTCGCAAATAACGTACTGAACACGTTAACTTCGAGGAAGTACATAAAGAGAAAGAAGCAAAATATAAATACCGGTAGGAATCGATTAAGGAATGGTATGGTSTATGCAAAGTTAAGTACACCACAATCACACTGTTGTACAGCAGGGGAGTTTGTAGCAGAAAAACAGCCACTCATCGAAGGACGTATCCTGAAGAAGAGGTAGTGCTCAAGATCGTTTCCACAGGAGTTCTTATCGGAGGACTCGCAAGTTTCTGGAGGTTCAATCAGCGGGCCAGAAAAATGCAAAACACCGGTGTTTAATAAAACCAACAGGACGAACCACTAACGTGTGCTGACCTCGAATTTAGGCAGAATGAAGTGAGGAGGGGTTTTAGTGGGTAAACTACGAAAGTAGGAGCCCCACACTACCCGACCAACAACTTTACCTGCAAGGGTGTGCGTAACGCATTTCCCCTCCTCCTTAAAAAAAAAAAAAAAAAAAAACACGGGTGTGTGTACTTATGTACACACGTAAGAAGTTATACTTCTATTGTGTGTATTTCAAATCCGCAAAACCTTTGATGAATTGATATTTAGTTTTAAGTATTATAACTAGCTCATCGCACTATCGCGATTTAGTCTTAGAAATGTTTCATATAATTCAATATAAAGAATAAATTAAATAAAAATATTGCAAAGAAATGCATTGCATTTTTAGTATTATTTTTATTTCAATTCGATTATATTACTCTCAATAACAAAAGTGCGAAATGTTAACAGGTCATCGATTAACATAATTAACTGCTCGGACATTCGATTAAATGTGCTCGTGTAATATGTGCACAATCGATGAACTTTTAAGTTCGTTGATTGTCCACGAGCAAGGATAGCTAACGGAAAACGCGAATTAATTTAGTAATAATTAATAAATAGAGTTACTTAACGCGCGAACATCGGAATTTGTTATAAAAGATGTATGAAAGAAAATAAATGAAATTATTTCATGTGTATATTGTAATGTGAAATGTATTTCATTTGTATTAGTATTATAAGCAGTTGAGAGTAATTGGGTGAAAATGTCTTTAAGTCGTTTCTAAATTGTACGACCATAATCTGGCATATTATAACGGTTTGGTATTAGAATAGAATCGATACTTTACATAGTTAATAGTATTCCACCCAGCTGACACACAGCAAAAAAATATATGTACGTGTAGGGCAAAGAGTGTACTATCATTTAAAATCATTTTTATTAAAATTTGACAACTGTAAGTATAAAAAATATTGACGAGAACGTTCCAAAGATATAAAAGCTATGTGTGAAAGATTAATCCTTTGCAGCAC